CGCTAGAACCGACTTCGGGTTTCATGGCTTCTCCTCGCTGGTCTCGAGCTGGAAGTTGCCGTCTACCTCGTTGTCCTTCAACTGGAGGGTCGTGCCCGACTTCTTGCATTGCTTGCGCAGCGGATTTGGCTCTCCAGCTGAGAAAAAGAAGCGGGCCTGCGCCACCTCGTGAAGGGCTAAGGCGGTATGTGACAGGGCTTGGTCTCGTAGACGATCCGAGCTAGTATCGTCTCTGCCCCCAATAACTGTTCTTGGGGGAGCTTCCTGGGCATCGCGCTGCCGCCTGCCGTCTCGTACTTGCTGACCTGCGATGACCACCAACCGGTCGGCAACTCCTTGGGAGGTTTAGTTCGGGTCGTGCTCGAGGTCGGCTGCGAGGGCGTGGCCGTGGAAGAGGGGCTTGTCTTGCCGGCGCACTCTTTCCGAATGTACCGAAGTCTCGTCTTGGCGACCGTGCTGGCGGCCTTGCCACGCAGCTTATCCGTGGGGTTGAACTCGAAGCCGTCGATCAGTGGCTGGACTAGTTCGTCGTCGGTCTCCTTGGGCCTTGGGCCCCTCTGCGACGCTTGCAATGACACCGATCTGGCATACGCCGCGACGCCGCACAGTGATACCTCTTTATGTCCGTGTCGGCGCCGCTTTGTCGAGGATCGCCTCAAAGTCCGTGTCGAAGGCTGCCGTGGCCGTGGCACGGTCGTGTGGAAAGGGCGCGTCGTACCTGTCGACACAAAACTTGACAAGTAAGCAGGGCGTGAGCGGTGGACCTGACTGCAATCACTCGCACTGCAACGAACGCATGCAACAATTGTAGCTAACCTACTAATCGGGTGTCTCTTTACCGCCGTCTTGCTCAGGGCTTCCGGGCGTGAGAGGATCTCGACTGTTCTGCTGTCCTGCGCTGGGCAGCAATTCCTGCACTGCAGCTCGCCGGTCGCCTCCCTTGCTCTGGTGAATCTCGAGAGCGCACATACTTCCAACCGCACTTGGCCTGCCAAAACGCTGGCGCCCGATTCTCCTCCTCCGGGTCGCGGAGGCGCGCCTTTCGCACCACTACCGACTGAGGGCGGGTCTTGCGCAGCTGCTCCATGCTCAGCTCGAGCCGTTCGAAGCCGTTGACCAGGTCATCATGGTCGTGGCGCGCGCTCTCTGCTCACTGCTGGTAAGGGCGGATCTTCTTCTCGAACATGGTGCAGTAGCTGCTGCGTCGTTTTTGCTCACTGCCAGCTTCAGCGACACCTCGAGGCGGTCGCGGTCGATTGTCCTCCACTCCCAGCGCTGACAGCTCTCGTAGTAGACACCACGCGCCGACGACGTCCTCTGTCCGGTGTGTTCTCGAAGCAGACCTCCTCGAGTCAAAAGGCCAGCTTGACGCCAACGCCCCTCTCGATGGAGCGAACTGCGTCCTTGATGGCCAGCCATCCCAGGAGCGGTAAGCGCAGGTCAGGAGACCTGGCGGCAAATTGTTCAGGAGCAAGGACTCTCCCTGCTCGTTGAGGAGATGCCTTATACTTGCCAGGCAGACCAACCTCTGTCTCGGCGAGCAGGGGGTCGTGCTTGCCACTGTGTCGCGGTCGTGCCTGTCGCAGCCGCTGCACCGCTTTGGTATCGCCATCCTGCGCTATCCTCCTGGGCGCTGGTCTCGACTTGCTCGTCCCCCTTCGTGGCCTGGTCCTCGTGCGTCGTGTCGGCTGTCGCCACGGTGCTGCTGGTCGAACTCAATGGGCCACGGGCTCGAGGGGCTCGCAATCGGACTCCTCGCTCGAGCTGTCCGGTATTGGTGTGTTGGTCGCAGCCTGGTCGTTCGCACGCGCGGCGGCCAAGTTGTCCAGGGTCGGGGGAGCGGTCAAAGACGAGGCCCATGTCTTGCGCGAGGGTGTCGTGGTGGGAGGCTTTGTCTGCGTGCCTCCGACAGCGCTCCGGGTGACTTGGCCTTTGCCACCTTCGCCTCATGAAGGCTCGCTGCTGCGGTGTGAACTTGGTGCCCTTGGGCTTGGCTGCTGGCGCTGCAGGTCGGCGTACTCGATGTCGAGGTCGACGGGCCGGTCTGCGTGCTCTGTGTGGTTGCCCCCGCCTGTCGTGGACGAGGTCGTAGAGGGCAATGCCTTGACCAGGACTGCTGGCTTAGCTGTGGCACCCGCATCTTGTCGAGAACTCTGAGTTGCCTTAGCCGGTGTCGTGGGCGGCTTTGCTTGTATGCCCGCTGTCTGCTGGGCCTCCGTCGTGCTCTTCGCGGGTGTGGCCGACGATGCCTTCGCTGTACTGGAAGAGCCGGATCGTTGCGATGACGTAGCCGTTGCCGCGGCCACTGGAGCTTGCCGTGGCTGCTGCCGAAGTTGTCCGTGTCGTCTGGCCTTGTTGGGCCGCCAGCATATTCGGAGTCGGCGGCGCCTTCAACGGCACTCCTTGTTTCGCCTTGGCGGCTGGGGCATCCGGCAGATTCCAAGGTGGCGGAATCGAGGCAGCCGTGCGTGCGGCCATTCGGGCCAAGCTCCACCAGTGCTGCATATGCTGCATGCAGGGTGTAGAAGTTGAGTGTCGTCAGCTCCTCGAGCATGTTGAGCGCCCTGCGCATCGCTTGGTCGCCGCGGTCGCCCATTGAGGAACTGAAAAAGAAAAATTCTCTAGACCTGCACCGCAAAGGTTCGAGCCTCGGCAGCTAACAAGCAGCGACGCTCGACATGTCAGTGTGCACAAACGAGTTTGTGCTATGAGAAAATGAACCAGAAGCCCGAAATCCTAAGCCTAACACCTTAAACCGTGAAACCTGAAGTGCTGAACTCCTAAAACCTACCAACCAAATCCTAAACCTGAAGCCCTAAACCATGAACCCCAAACCCCAATCCACCGTGTCTCGATCATGTACAATGCTCGACCTGGCTTGCTGATCAATCTGATTCGTGCCTTGCGCTGATTTGATTCGTGCCTTCCCCCTGATCTGATCCGCGGCCACAGCTGGATGTGATCCGCGGATCTGTCTGATCTGATCCGCTGATCTGTGTGATCTAATTCGTGATCTGATCCGCCACGCTGATTCGCGCATGGCTTGATCTGATTCGTATAGCTTTCCCTCAAAATTATATGCTGCGTTCTACCGACACATAGCTCCATAGATTGTGAACAGCTCAGCGGCCTCTTAACATCTGTGGCAACAAGCGTATGCTGGCAATATGGCAATATCTGTCTGGCCAATAATCGTCAGCTAAAAACCATAAATGCTTGTATGGCGTGCATTGTATCTCCGTCCGCCACACCCTTACCTGAGCACCAAGAACTTCGCACACCTCATCCAAGCCTTCGCTGGAGCTCATGAATACGCGACGCCAAAAACTCACCAGAAACAGAGTCCCTTGCAGCTGACTTCTGTCCTACCAAGGGAGAGCATAGAAAATGTTGTCTACTCACATGATGCAAGACTTCCCCTTTATGATACAAGTGCTACGTTGCAACGCCATTCCAGGATCCTGCAAAGTTGCCACATGATGCAGCATTCAAACTTCTGTGCCCTCGCGACAAAACGTGCTGGGCGGCGCGCCACGTTACGGCAACGACTGCCAGCATGGAGCGCGGGACCATGCTACTTGGTGGTGTCAAGGTTTTGCTACTCTATTTGACTTCGAGCACCAATTAACAACGATGGTACATGCCATCCTGACCTACAGGTCACGACCTGATCTGGCTGGAAAATCAAAGCGGCTGCTTAGTGAGCAGTGATCGCAACATCTTCTTGGGCACTTCCCACAGCATGTCTGTCATCAAGATCCTTGTCGGTGCAACTCCACAACCCCACTGCGCAAGAAGACGTTCACCACGCTCATGATGATGCACGCTTCGTCCAACATGCGCTTTTTCAAAGATACTAAAGCATTTAAGACGTGTATTGCTTGCAATTTCGTAAACATCGATGCTGACAAGGCTTCGCCCTGCTGATTTCAGTCTTCGCAAAGAAACCTCTGTGAGCTCCTGCTCCAACAGGCTGTGATGTGATTTCCTAAATGCTCCGTACGCGGATTCACGTTTGAAAGGGTCCAGGGGGCGGCCAGAAATCCTTGCGTTTGTGTTCGTGAAGCGTCCACAAGCGTCCGCGAGTGTCGCGCATAGACTGGACTTTCCCATATCAAAACTGTCAACCAAGTCAACCGACACAACGGCAGAGGAGGTTTGGTTTTGCTGCGCGGCTCTGCAGTTGGGCAGCAAATACGACCAATGAAGATGCATGCCAAGGTCCTTTGATCCTAGCTGAACACGCACACGAAGCGCAAAATCTGCAAGGCCCCGACCGGTTGGCGTGCACCGACTGAAGTAGATGTTGGCAACGGGGCCTTCTGCCAACAACAGCAACAACAAACACCATGCCAGTGAACCTGCACAGCTGCTGAATGCCTGAGGAAGCACCAAAGCTTTTTACATCTGCAAGCAAGCCATGGATGAATGAGAAATGTCCCTGTCGGGCGGCATAGCTGTGACCCTGCGTTGTGGACTCAAAGGGGGCACACCCGTAGCGGGTAACAGCACACCCCCAAAAAAAGACGAGCACAAAGCCTTACGATGTGGGAGCAAGAAGTGGAAACATTAATCTTAAGCTTTATCACATCCAGCAAACTTGAGACACATGGAGCAGGTGCATGCAAGTGCCATGGCATTTCCTGGCAAATCTGAAACAATGGCCACAGGACAGGTTGTAGATAGTCTCCCGGTCCGTTGTGGAAGAGTGTCATCAACTCTTGAACCCTGCTTTGGGGCAAGTGGCTCCATGCTGTTGCGGCCATCAACGACAAGAAGAAAGTACAACGGAAAATTGCTGGCCTCCTAAACACTTATAGACGCAGTACAAAAACTGTATCAGAACTGGACACGAATGACCGCAACGCACACCTCCCGCCCAGGGCGTTTTCGGATTGCAGGGTTAAGCGGCAACAAAGCAAATTGAGTGCTCCAAGGAATGCTTGCAAAGTGCTTGCAAACTTGGAGACATGATCAGGTGCTCGAGTGGCACCACATACTCAGTCCACGGAGAGCTCAGGTAGCCAAGCCTCACAACAAGTCGCAATTGTATTGAAAGTGGTACAAAAGGATCATGCTAGGACACCGAACATGCCCATTTGCAGCTAGTTGCCAGCACATCGACGTCTGAAAACGCATAGCAGCTAGCAGATGCTTGCAAAAGCTAGCAGTCTCCCACCTCCAACTTTGGTGCGGCTTGTCGAAGGGCTAGACGCAGCAAGCCACCTGCTTCACTCTCCTTGCAGGTCTAAGCTCATGGCGAAGAAGTGTCTCTGAAGCTGCCAAGACGGTCCTTGTTGCAGATTGCACGGTACTCCCGTGGCAGCTGCGTGGCTGGTGGTGGTGGATGCCATGTTGTAGATCCTGCGGACATCAAAGGCTCGTTTTTCAAGGATCTTGGCTGCCGTTTGAGCAGTCTGTGCCAGTGCCATGATTGGACCCCAGGCCCTCACCATCCGGATATATCAAGGACATGTCCTTCCAGAATGTTGCGCCGCAGTACCGCGCCGCTGTCCAGGAGTGCAAGGACGTCCTGGTGGGTTTCCGCCAGACGCCAGACTCGGGCAACAACGAGCCGAAGAGACCCCAGCTAAGTACTCCTACCCTGAGAATGCTGCTCAGCCCACCAGTTTGAAAGAAGGCCCTGCACCAACATGGTCTCCGGCGCACGTTTTGCTTTCAATTTGGTGCTTGCTGTTTCAGTTGCCTGTTTGAAGAACAGTCGGCCGCTGGTCATTGTCCTGGACTTTGAGGCCTTGGATGCTGAATGCTACAGACCTTCCCCTGTAGACCAAACATCAACAAAAGACCCATGATTGCAATGCCTGCCATGGCAATTCTCTGCCACCTCCCCTCCAGCCCACTCTTCTGCCCCGACCTACACACGTTAAAATGGAGACAAGCAAGTCTTGTGTCCACTAGTATCTTGTACTGCGCAACTCTAGCGACAACCTAACACGCACATGATGCCTCCCAGCCTGCCGTCAGGATCTAGAGAATCTAGAGTTTGAAGTGAAGGGTTCAAGGACAGAGGCGTGGGCTTTGATGGCTTGAGCATCTGGGACTGTGCTGCGTCCTTACCGGAGATCGACAAGCCAACGTGGCCTGCAGTGGACGGCAGGTGCACCTTCAAGCGAGATTCTAGGTCCTTCTAGGTTGCAAGCACATCTTCATCCAGTGTTGAGCCTCGCCCACTGACGTCCAGCCGGCTGCATCGTCATGGAAGAGGTTCACAATGCTTGGATCTTTCTCAAACAGCAACGCAACAATTCGGCCAGTCTCCTGTGGCGCTGTCAGAACTTGGCGACTGCACAAGCCGGAGCTGCTGGAATGCATGCACGCGCGCCTCCGGCTTTGACATTGCAGCCGCAAGAAGTGACGATCCACGTGGCAGCGGCAATTTAGTCGTCGAGTTCTTGCAGGCCCATCGCCCTGACCAACATGCACAGGAATCTGTCTTTAACATGTCGCAGCCTGGGAGAGCCTTTCACTGGAGCCGCGCCGGGACAGTCGAACAGCTCGCCAACCTGGCTGAGCCCTTCTCCATCATGCCTTGCATACCTTTGACTGGCCACAAGCATGTTTGGCCCAGCCTTTGTGATGAGCTGCAGCCCGTCATCCAGCCAATTTCCGCCCACAAGCGAGCGAATGGCTCCAAGTCCCTCCAGCGCGAAAGAGTTCACATCAACCTGTCCCGTGCTCAAATCAGGTCTTTGGCAATGCTGCAGTCACAAGTCTTGCAGGGTATGCTCACGCCTCTTGAGCGTCAAGATTCAAGAGATGCGCCCCAAATCCACGAGACGTCAAGGCCATTAGTTCGGATCCCCTGCCAGCCAAGACTTGCAACATAGGACTGCCATTGCAGGACAACACTAGCCTGCACAGCAAGTGTTGCGGTTCAAAGAGAGCAGGCCACTTCACCTATCCACGCTCGAGCGACATCTGATTCCTCTGAGCAAATTAGAGCAACAGCTCTAAGTCCTAGTACCTCCTTGACGTTCACGGTAGTTGGCGCCATGAAGGGTGGCGAAGTTGATGGCGACAACTCCAAAGGAGCCTGATGCTTGGCCTTTCGCAAGTCGCAAGGGCGAAGCTGAGTTGCCAGGGGTTCCTGTGGAGGCGGCCTCGATCTCTTGAAGAGAGTCGTGCAACCAAGCCAAACCATCTTTCGCCTTGAGGAGATCGCGAAGCAACTGGTCATCTCCTCAGCTCTCGAGCAACCTGACACCTTCCGAACATCTCAGGCATTCGACCCCAGGCCTGCCAGCCGCCTGTGTGCCGAATGGCTCTCGCCCTCGGAATGTCCTCCACTGTGTCCTCCACTGTGTCCTCCACTGTGTTCTCCACTGTGTCCTTCACTGTGTCCTTCACTGTGTCCTCCACCTGCATTCAATGATCTCTGCCAAAAGCATTGTTAACTGGGACTGCTCCATCATGTGCCTCCATGTTCAGGGGACTCCTGCACACCGCTCTGCCCCACTCCAGGTGAATGAATGTCATCTGGATTGAAACCTGGGCATGTACACGATGTATCCCCAGGAAAGCCTAGTCTTAGCACAGCTTCGGGCAGGGCCTCCGATTGATCCGTCCTCATACTTGGCCAAAGTTGAGGACTCGAGGCGGTAGTCGCCTGTCAGAGTGCCAGGACAAAGCAACGCATGTCAACAACTCAAGTCCATGCCGGGCTGCTGGGCAGCCGCTCACTGCTCATGTGCCATGCTTTGGGAACCCAGATGTTCTTCATCCTCAGGATTGAAGCCCAAGCCACGAGATCTTGGTGCATCTTCGAATCTGGGCAGGGCACTTCTGGTCACGAATCCATGGAGGCTCTCCGGGAGGCTTCATTAGGGTATCCGGCCCGACGTTCATCTCCTCGGCCACTCCAGCATCAGCATAAACCACACTGCATCACGCACGAGACCAACTAAGAGCGCAGCGACAAATAGCGCCACACCCATGTACAACCTAGTGCTAAAACGGCACTTGTCAATTTGACATCTCATGAACACCGAGCTCTTGTAGATGGTTGCACACGTGCACTCATGTCCACATGGTTCTCAGTGATCAACTGGAAGCCTTTCACAGGCATACTCACGTCGTGACACACCAAGGTCCGTGCCAAAGAAAACCCACGGTGCAAATTGCAACCCGAGCCAGTTGCCAGGGTAAGTCCTGGAAGCATGCAGGTTTGATTATCCATGGTCACATCCTTTGCCCTGTGCAAGAACCGGGGTCCGGTGATCGAGCTTCCGCGAAGGCTTTGAAAGGTGAGCGTCCTGTGTATGCTCCTTCTGCCTGCAGCAGAATTGGGCATCTCTCCCCTCCTCTCTCTCTCTCTGACTCTCTTCTTCTCACACCTCTATGCCCCAGAGGGGGCGCCGCGGCAACGCGGCAAGCTGGTGGGCGAAGCAGGTTCGTATCCAGTCCGTATGACACTGAGCACATGCTGCGAGCTGGCAGTCAACCACATCCATCTTCCTCTTTTTCTACTGGCGATGCCCCCCCCCCAGAGCGGCGGACCGGGGTTGCACACCGACGACGCACTTCCCCTGTACACAGCGAAATTGGTGGCAAAATCTCACACGATGGAGGTTGTGTATCTTCCATTCTTCTGCTTCCCCGAAACCTCTGAAACCCCCACCAACTTCTTTTGACGATTGCCATCTTGCCTGAATCTGCCCTCACAATGGGTTACATACTTTTGGAGAAAAGTCAGACAAAGGTTCGCGAATATGCTGGCTATCACCATCTCCTACCATCGGTTCCCTTACCCTACCCCACTCAATGCTCACTCGCCCCTGCATCTCATTGCCTGTGGTGCTGCAAATCTCCGCATTTGACCTTGCTTGCGTCCCGTAGGCCGGATAAACATCATATCTACATCACTTGCACTTCTCTTGTCCTCTCGAATTTGTTGACTCTACTCCATGCCAAACTTTCGAATTTCCGAATTGTTGTGCTACTTGTGTTGCATTGCCATCTTTGGCTCCCAATTACCTGCTTGCCTCATCCAAGGATTCGAAACACATCCCTCTTTTCTTCTTCTTCTACTGGACATGTGAGTGTCCTAGGACACCCGGTGGGACACGTCCTTTCATTTTTTGTTCTTTCGTTCGGGCTCTGGGGTGACCAAGGTCCTTGATCACCCCCTGGCGCCTGCCCAGCCCATGTTGGGCTACTCAGAACAAACCTTTCTACTCCACAGTTCCGGTCCATGAATTTCAAGAAAGTTCAAGGTATTGCAAGGACTTAACTCAAGGCCGCCTGTGTGGAAGTTATGGTTGAGCCCTTCTCTCTCTTTCTCTCCCGAGGCCTAAAGACTCCGTCCTACTAACTGGGCACTAGCTGCATGGTCTCTTGCTTAATTTGTTAGTCACTGATGATCCTGATTACAGGGCAGATGGCATTCAGTGCAAGGATGTTAGCCCTATGGCAGGCGTATAATGACCGCTATTCTTCGGCATGGAATTGCTTTAGCGATTGGGCTTGATGCTTGGTCATGCACTTATGGTTTGT